GGGGCCGCGGCTGCGCATCCCCGCCCTGCCCCGCACGAGCAGGTGTCCCCGGGGGCGGGGGCGAGTGTGCGCGCCTCGGGGAGGGTGAGGGAGGGGAGTGGCCACGGAAGGGGAGTGTGCTCCGGGGTAGGAGAATAGGTGTGTGTGGTTGAGGGCTCAGAAAAGGCTGCGGGTTAGGACAGAAGGTGAGTGATTCAAGCACGCAGGTGCACCCGGAAGGGAAAGGCTTGTGCAAAGGGGGAGTGTGCAAGAGTTTAGAAGGATCGTGAGGGTCAGGGCGATGTGGGAGAGGAGTGAGCATGGAATGCATCTGAGCGATAAACGCTTTTACACAAAAGACTGTGTGTATGGTGTGTGTGTGATGTAGGGCTGTGGAAAGGTGAGTGCATAAGACATGGAATCATTGTCTGAGAAACAGGGTGTGGTTGTAATCTGGGAGGAAGGTGAGTGAGCAAAGGAATGCTGAAAGAACGGAGTGGTTTTCCTGGTATTCTGCCTTCACTATGGAGACACTGGTGTGAACACCACACACACACACACACACACACACACACACACAATTAACCTTTGCTTTTATGGGAGTCCTGATTCTGAGGGCCAGATCTGCCCCCTCATCACATGTTCTCTGTCTTACACTTGTATACTCTCTCTCCTTCCCTTTCCAAATCTGAGGAAAAGGGAATTCCGGGAGAACTCCTTGGGTCAAACATACTGGGGAATAAAATAATTAGTAGAAGAGTAATTAACGGAAGAAGGAATGGGCTGGAGCCAGGCAAAACCCAACAAACTAGGGATCCTCCATAGAGGTATTAGAGGAGAGAGGATAAGTAAAAAACATTCTCAACTGTTTTAAATGGATGGATAAATGAATTAGGAAAATCGGCTGGGATCCAAGCAGATATCATCAAGGATGGCTTCTACCCTGAACACAATGGACTGAGGGGACTTCTGTTCAAGATAGGCTGAAGTGAAGACTGCGGGGAGAGGGAGTTTTACAAGCTCACAAACATTTATCTTAGCCTTCCAGAAGGTTTATAAGCCAACCAGTCCTGCCAGAGTAGCCAAGGAAACATTCATCTTCAGAGCCCCAACTGAACCATCCAGTGAACCAAGGCCTTCAGGTTTTTCTTACTAGTGTCTCAAGTGCTCTTGCCAACAAAAGTCCAGAGCCACATGTCTCAAAATGGAAAGGGAGAATCTGCACTTCCTTGTCTTCCATTTTGCCCCAGAGCAAGGTTGATATTCATCTTCAAGCCTGAACTTTTACCTGCTTGGCTAGTCAGTCAAGGAGGATGGGAGACTTGGCCAAAAGAAAGAGGGCAGATTGTTTCTCACAAGGGAGACATTGATCTCTACTTACTCCACAAAAGACTGAGAGATAAAGAAGTCTGTAAAACAAAGGAATCAGATAAACCTTTTCTCCCTAGATACCTGAGAGAGGTAATATGGGAAAGTAACGCTGTTCAAGGAGCCCTGGTGGCACTGGGCTTATGCATTGGGCGGCTAACCCCCAAGGTCAGGAGTTCCAAACCACCAGCCACTCTGCAGAAGAAAGACACAACGTATGTAAAGAGTTACAGTCTCAGAAACCCACAAGGGCAGTTCTACCCTGCCCTATAGGGTTGCTAGGACTCATTTTGAGATGGCAGAGTCCCCTGTCCTATAAGTAGGATTCAACTTGATGGCTTGACAGTGAGTTATGTCATGAGCTATTTATGTTCTGGGCTGGAGCAAGGGCTAAGAAAGATGCACTGGGGGAAAGAAGGAAGCACAATGACCCCAAATGAGTCAGCAGGTTTGGAAAAAAGTGTGCAGTTATCTTCAAACGTCTTGGTGGTCTGAGTGGAGGTGGTAACTTCCTAGCACGCGCTCAAACCTGTATTTGACCTGTCTATATTGCACACACAAAGAATCTTCTCCATGCAAGGACCCTTAAGGGGCAGTATTTTCTCTCATCTATCAATTTCTGCAGGATGGCACTAGTTTCTAACTCCGGGGAGGAGTGGAAAGTTGGAACAGGAGTGAGGATGGGGAAGAGGTGGAAAAGACAAGTTGAGGGTAGGGGTGGGAGGAAAGTATTACTTTGGCTTCTTTTGAAAGCCACTTTATACCGGATTACTACTGTTGGTTAATCCGCCTTGTCTGTTTTTTAATTCTACTTTTGCCTTCCATTGGGCATTGTCTACTTTCTATTTTATTCGACGACACTTTTGGCTACACTTTATGACCAGCCGAAGAATCACTACTATAAAGGGTGTGTGGCTAAGAAACTAAAACAAACAAACAAAAAACCAAGGAAGCTAGCTAGCATTTGGGGAAAAAAATGTTGAGTGAATGAAACAAAAACGCAAATGAAATTTCCCTCTCCCCGCCACCCCCCGCCCCGTTGGCCGTGTTGCTGAAAGGCGACCGCCCCACTTCTCGGTTCCCGCCCTCCCCCAACAATATGGAGGGACGGCAAGACACTGAGTGAGCCTGGAGATGCACACGGGCTGGGTCCTCTGCCCAGAGTTGGGATCTGGGTGGCCCAGGTTGCCATGGCACCGCCTTGGGTCCCTCCCTCTCTCGGCCGCCCTCTTTCCAGCCTTGGGTAAAGCCGTCAGTCACGTGGCTCGCCAAAGAACCACACCTCTGCTCCTCGGAGCAATGTCAAGCGGTCACGTGTGATAGCAACAGGTCACGTGGTGCCTCCGCCCCCTTCCCCTGACCGCTCCCTTCCCCTCAAAGCTACTTTTTTTGACCGCTCGTTTGCGCATGGGCAGTGGGGTCACGTGCCCCCAACGTCCGGCGTTCACCCCGCCCACCGGGTTTCCGCGCGCCTCTCTGGCAGCTGGTCACATGGTGAGGGTGGGGGCGAGGGGGCCGCTCTAGCAGGCGGGTTGCGTCTATGGTCAGGCCCTCCGCGTCCAGCTGTGGGGACCGCGCAGGGGCGTATGGCGCCTCGGGACTCGACTCCGAGGGCCCGATAACGGGCCGCCCCCCCGCTCTCGCTCTCGCCCTGGACTGAGGTAAGCACAGCCCCTTCCTAGGAGTCCCCGCCCCCCGCGACCTCCACGCGTGCATCTCGCGGCTTACGGCAAGGTAGCTCGAGGGATAGGGCGTTGTGAGGTGGCCCTTTGTGCTCGTGGGGAGGGGCGGGTCTTTGTGGCGGGCGGCGTCCCGCGTGGGCTCTTCCTTGCGCGGCGGGGTGACCCAAAGGAAGAGGCTTTTTTTTCTTTTCTTTTCTTTTCTTTAGACAGCCTCACGTGGCCGGAGGAATTGGTCATTGTTCTCCGCGGGACCGGCCCATGGAAGGCCGGGGAGGGACGGGAATCCTGGAGTTCCTTTTGCAAAGCCTGTATGTGGGAGTCCCCCGGTGGCCGCCTGCCCTCAGAACTCCCAATCCAGAAGTGGGTTTTGATACGAGATCGCTTCTGATTTCAGGATCTCCTCGGATCCGACCATGGCCACCTCTCGCTATGAGCCAGTGGCCGAGATTGGTGTGGGCGCCTATGGCACGGTGTACAAGGCCCGTGATCCCCACAGCGGCCACTTTGTGGCCCTCAAGAGTGTGAGAGTCCCCAATGGAGAAGGCACTGGAGGCGGCCTTCCTGTCAGCACTGTTCGGGAGGTGGCCCTACTGAGACGGCTGGAGGCGTTCGACCATCCCAATGTTGTCCGGTGAGAAGATGGTGGCGGCCTAGGAGCGAGCGGGTCGCATAAGGGGAAAGCAGCTTGTAGGTGGGGAGTAGTCAGCCGGGAAATGGGACTCAAGAAACCAGGGGATTTGTCTGGGGTTAAAAAGGATTGGCCCATGAATGACCATTTGTCTTGGCCAGGCTGATGGACGTCTGTGCCACAGCCCGAACTGACCGGGAAACCAAGGTGACGCTGGTGTTTGAACATGTGGACCAAGACCTAAGGACGTACTTAGATAAAGCCCCCTCACCAGGCTTGCCAGTGGAGACCATCAAGGTGAGTGGACCGGACACTGCTAGAGGGGCCAGTGGATTGGGACCTTTGTGGTAGGACCTGCTGGGCTTTTACGTGTGGTGCGTTTCCATTGCCTCTGTACTTCCAGGATCTAATGCGGCAGTTTCTAAGAGGCCTTGACTTCCTGCATGCCAATTGCATCGTTCATCGGGACCTGAAACCGGAGAACATTCTGGTGACAAGCAATGGGACGGTCAAGCTGGCTGACTTTGGCTTGGCCAGAATCTACAGCTACCAGATGGCCCTTACACCTGTGGTCTGTATAAAGATGGGTTGGGGAGGAGTTTGCACTCAACAGCAGAGAAGTCACATTGTAACCCTTAGGGCCGGGCCCTCATCCATTCTTCCTGTTTCCTTTAGGTTGTTACACTCTGGTACAGGGCTCCTGAAGTTCTTCTGCAATCTGCATATGCAACACCCGTGGACATGTGGAGTGTTGGCTGTATCTTCGCAGAGATGTTTCGTCGGAAGTAAGGAAACCAAGTTCCCTGAACCATCTCAAGTGCCCCAAGTCTCGTAATCATAAGCCACTTCTGTACCCAGCCTATCTTTTCACTTAAAGCCCTACTGGCCCCCATGCCCATAACCAGAAGCTGGGAAATGTCCAAGAATGTAGAACTGTATCTCTCCTCATTCTCCACGCCCCATCTTTTGACAATGACTGCTATCTTGTACTTTTCTTACCTTAGGCCTCTCTTCTGTGGAAACTCGGAAGCTGACCAGTTAGGCAAAATTTTTGAGTAAGTGACCAGCAAGGGTGAAAATAATTTTCCATTCTGAACCTTTCTCTTTGGCTACTGGCTCTGCCCCAGAGGTGGGGGGCTGGAAAAGCACCTTTCTGACCCAGTTTTTCTGTCTCCCATAGGCTGATCGGCTTGCCCCCAGAGGAAGACTGGCCCCGAGATGTGTCTCTCCCCCGGGGAGCCTTTTCCCCCAGAGGGCCCCGCCCAGTGCAGTCGGTGGTCCCCGAGGTGGAGGAGTCCGGAGCACAGCTGCTGCTGGTATTGGGGCCTGAGTTGGGCTGGGCTGGGCAATGGAGTGCTGTTAGAGACCCAAACCATTGTAGGCCCTGACATTTGGTTGTCAGATGGGCTGTAAGTTTTTATTGCTGCTGTGAGTAGTCATCCTAAGCTTGTGGTGGGGGGAGGAGGGGGAAGGGAAGTCGGAGTCTTTTGTTCCAAGGTTTCCTGATCTTTGCCTCCCTCCTCAGGAAATGCTGATTTTTAACCCACAAAAACGAATCTCTGCCTTCCGGGCCCTGCAGCACCCTTATCTATATAAGGGAGAAGGATCAGGCATTGGAGTGGCTGGACCAGGACCAGGACCCAGAGAAGGAAGAGAACCTACCATTTCCCTTCCTCTGGACACTTGAGTGGAGAGGACCCCGCCCCCTCCTCACTGAGGAGGCATTCTGTGCCTTAGCCTCTGTCTTCATCTCTGAGGCTTTGTATACCCCTCCCCTCATCTTTTTACAGAGAATATTTTGCTGCCTTAATGATACACCTCTTCCCCTCCAATTGAGGCATATTCTTCTTTCTACCTCCTCCCCCCTATTTTCCTACCCCAAGGAGTATTGTCTTCCCCTCTTACCTACTTTGATATAATGGGCTCCTTTTTTATACAGGAAAAAAACAAACAAGGAAGTATGGTCTTTTCAAAATGTTTCTTTCTCTGACTGGCTTTGCCTTTGGGGGCTTTGGGAAGACCACTGGGAATGAAGGGATTTCCTTGCTAAACCAAAGGCTTTCCTTAAATCACAGGGCCTAGAGTTAGTGAAGGAGCCCTTGTAATGTAGGGGTTACACATTGGGCTGCCAACCACAAAGTCAGCAGTTTGAAACCAGCAGCCGCTCTGTGGGAGAAAGACAAGGCTTTCTACTTTGGTAAAGAGTTACAGTGTTGGGACCCCACCAGGGCAGTTCTACCCTGCCTTATTGGGGCACTTTGAGTCAGAATCACCTCAGTGGCAGTGAGTGTGGGGAGAGTTCTTTAGAAGGCAGGGAAGAAAGGAACTCCTTTGAATGTAGGGTAAAATGACTTTTATTTTGGTTTCAACGGTTTCAAATCCAATCCTCCTGGTTATGAGAACGAACCCGTGGTTGTATTCCTTGGCTCTGTCCTGGATTTCCCTTTGGAGCCAGGCCAGGGTGTGCTGAGGTGGTCCACCATATGCAAGCCTAAGAAAGCCTGGAATAACCCCAGCCCCATGCACTCCTTGGACCTGTCCACATCCACTTAGGAAGAGGCAAAGGTTTTCTTATATTCTCCATCCAACCAAAACGTCAAAATTTTAAAAGCCTAGCTGTTCAACCAGCTTTAAAGGACGTTGAAAAGGATCCTTCCTTTTTTTTCAAACAAAAAAGGTGGTAGACCCTAGGTTTTCCTTAAGGGAGGAAGAAAAAGCTTTAGGAAGAGCAGGAGAAACCTGAAGGGCCCAGAGTCTCATAGAAAGGCACTGGGGTTGGCCCGAGGATCCTTCTGGTTCCGAAACCTCATTGCTAACCAAATACCAAGGATCTGCCAGAAAAATAAAGGGAGAAAGATCAGCATTTCGGAATCTCCTAAGACATTGAGAAAGGGTGCACATGGAGGAACTGTAAAATGTTACCTCTGTGAAGCTGAAGAAGAGTCCAACACCCCCCAGGATTTTCAAAGCTTCATCGGAATGGTTAAGAATCTTTTCTCCACATACCTGGCATGGAGGGTTTCGATTCTTGCAGATCTGAGGATTAAACATAATGTGTTTGGAGGATGCAATTGCTCAATTGTTTGAACCCAATACCTATAGTGAATGTTCTACGGACTAAATCAATTAGCTGTGTGGGATTTTAGTCTGTAGGACATTACCTTTGGTCAATGTTCTACAGACTAAAATCCCACGTGGCCCATTCCCAAGGTTCTACATATGCCCTCCTACCAGCACCCAGCACCAGTGTGAGAGAACTGCCAGAGGGACAAGCAGTGACATTCAGATGTCTTTCTGAGTCCTTTGTGGACCTTGCTCTAGCCCTGTTTCCTCCCCACTTGCCCAGACTCACTGCATAGCATGGTGTGTGATCCTGTTGATTCTGGTCCGTGAGGTTGAACAAACCACAACAATCGAGACTTCTTTCCAGTTCATTCCGGGTTGTGTTGCTCATCACCCACCAAGAAGCACTGATGAAATCTGTCTGGAGGATACAGGCAAAGGGTGGTCTTATCCTATGACACGTGTGGGGAATGTCTGGCCCCCGCGCCATGCAAATCCTGTAACATTTTCAATACTAGCTAACGTCACATGCCTCACCAAAGAAGCAGTTCCAGCCATCACATTAGGGGTGAGTTAATTAAAGGTTTGACCAAAAGTAGCAGCCTACTTTTTGAAGTTGCTAAATTTGTAGGACCCGAGAATAAGGCTATAAATACCAAATGGCCCTTGGCAGAATAAAGGTTCCCCACCCCTGCCCTACAATATAGGGCCAATATCCTGATTCCAGTTATTCCAATTCTGTTATCTCAGTACTGGGCGTTAACATCCCTGAGAGGCATGCAGTGTGTGTTGTCACAATTAAACATGCCCTTTTCAGCTTCTAAAAAATGAAAAATTAAGCAGACTATATAAAGCAAGGGGCTTTGAAGTCAAAGTCGGGAGCCTAAGAATATTATTTAGGTGACTGGAGTCTGAAAAAGCTACAAGCTTGAGATGTTTTTGTTTTTACACGAGGAAAAAGCAAGTAATTGAAAGGGTACTTACCTGTTTGCTTCTGTTAATAGCCAAACATGAGCAAGAGATTCCAAACTGGAAGATGAAGACCAAGCCAAGGATAATCATGTACTGAGACTGAGTTATGGAAAAAGTAGCCTGAGGTCCCTTTTTATTTCACCCATGATATTCTACATAGTCTCCTCCGTCCCTAGAACCACAATCCTGCCAGCTGGAAATAGTCAATTCTTGTACAGTATAGGGCAGGCCACCCCTGCCCTATACTGTTCTACGACTCCGATAGCTTCTGTCTCTTTAAATCGAGTCCAGCCAAACCCAAGCCTCTGCGCCTGCCCTGGGGTCCTATCCTCTAGCTCCTTGCTAGGCTACCCTGCCCTCCAGAGCACCCAGGTTCCCCCATCATTTCAGGTCAGGATACAAAGAACAGCAGAACTTGGTGGTGGTTGACAGCACCCACCAGTCCTGCCACGGCGATGAGGAGCAGAAAGACTCCCACAGCGATGACTCCTCCGATGATATGGATGCTGGACACCAGTCCCAGGCCCTTTCCCCAAGCGGCCACTCCAATGAGCAATAAGCCCACCAGCTAAGCGAGACATTTAGTGAATTAGTGCAGGATATGTCTCAAAATAACTAAACTGACAGCCAAAGGCCACAGGGTATTAGGAATTTGAGCAGGAAGGAAATATTGGTTGTGTGAATGTAAGTTAGAATGAGGGGGCTAATGGGACCAGGAACACCCGTGGGATTGGGGTGACCAGGAAAGGAGACTCAATACAAAAACTACTGTTTGGGGAGAAACAGGTTCACAGGCAGAATGGATAAATGGGGCTTTAAACCCGCGCCTTTCTGCTCAGTGTCTCTCCGCCCCACGAACCCCTTCATCACCGGAAGTACCCAGGAATTCCCTCTTCGCCGGAAGTTCCCAAGAGAATCTTCCCAGAACTGCCAGCACCCATCTCCCCACCGGAAGTCCCCTGGAGGTTCTACTCTCCTTTACACCCTGAAGCGCCACCCCACCCCACCCCCACTCCAAAACCTCACCATGTAGACCACGTTGAGGGCGCACAGAGCATTCTTGAAACAGGCAAAGCTCCCGCAAACCATCTTCCCAGCTCCGGGGACCCAGGTAGTCCCAGGGACTAGGGGGAGGGTCTAGGGGGACCGAGTTCTACGACTCCGATAGCTTCTGTCTCTTTAAATCGAGTCCAGCCAAACCCAAGCCTCTGCGCCTGCACGGTCCCACCCTGCCTCTGGATTGGAGAAACTCTGGGCTAATCCAGGACATTGATGGCCTGAATGCCAACCATTCTGCATTACGTCACTAACCCGCCTCCCAGCTGCTCCTGTAGGTTCTTCATTGGATGGAAGGGAAACCTGAGGACGGGGACTTCCAGAGATTTTCATAGGGATCAGATCCTAAACTTCAAAACCCCGGATTGAAAGCGGAGTTTTTTTGTGGCCAGACGTGGAAGAGAGCTAATCCAAGGGAGAAAACTCTGGAGAAACTGACGAAGAAGAGAGAGAGAAGGTGGGGCTTCAAGACCATCGCCTAAAGGCTCCTCCCCTTGAAGGAATGCCCCCCCCTTCCTCTTGCCCTGAAGTGACCTCATGATGACGCCATTATTTTGTTGTTGCGTCACGCTAGAGAACACGCAGAGGAACAAGCTATTGAGACATTTAGCGCGGCCCCGGGAGCCCCGGACTAGGCGCAGCAACACCCAGCAAATCCTCACACGTGTGCAAGTGTGTCCACTAGTGCATTTGTCCTGTTCCATATTTCCTCCTTAAAAGTTAATTCCATTCTCTGTGCCAGAAGAAAGACTGCAGACTTAGGGTCGGTGCACTGCAGTGTGTGACAGTGCCACAGGTGCGCACAGTGGTGTGCGCAACGTCCTCAGGGCGCATGCTTATCTGATCCAGGGCTTGCAAAGAAGGAGTCAGGGGTGGGGTGTGGCTACATGGGAAGGGAAGGAGGAGCCTCCACAGTTTCAGTCCGGGTTGGGCCTTATGGTTGATCAAGAAATATTTATTAAAAATTAAAAAAAATATATTTATTAGAGATTGTGCTGTAAGACAGCTCTTTCACGGGAGTGGGTTAAGGCATAGTTCCTCTTTCCCCAGGAGAAAGAAGCCGTTTTTTGTTGGAACAAACGCAAAGCCTCGCCTCGGCCCTACTGAATGATGTAAACATATGTACACTCGGCCCTGACGATGTCCGCAATGAAGTCCTGTTGATTAAGAGCCACGCTGCATGGCTTCCAGCTTGACCACTTAGTTGAGTAACCTTGGTCAGTTACTTAAGCTCTCTCTCTCTGCGTATTTCCTCATTGTGAAATGAGGATCAATAACAACAGCCCGTCACTTGGGTTGTTGGGGGCAGGGAGGGACATTAAAAGAGTTGATCATATATTCTTTTCTTTTTAATCATTTTATTGGGGCCTCATACAACTCTAATCACAATCCATGCATACATCCATTACGTCAAGCACATTTGTACATTTGTGGCCATCATCATTCTCAAAACATTTTCTTTCTACTTGAGCCCTTGGTATCAGCTCCTTGTTTTTTCCCCTCCCTTCCCTACCCTCTCTGCCTCATGAACCCAGGATAATTTATACATTTTATTACTTTGTCATGTCTTACACTGTCCGATGTCTCCCTTCACCTACTTTTCTCTTGTCCGTCCCCCAGGGAGGGGGGTATATGTAGATCCTTGTGATCAGTTCCCCCTTTCTCCCTCACCTTCCCCTCACCCTCCTGGTTTCCTTACTCTCATTGGTCCTGAGGGGTTTAATCTGTCCTGGATTCCCTGTGTTTCCAGCTCTTATCTGTACCAGTGTACATGCCCTGGTCTAGCCGTATTTGTAAGGTAGAATTGGGAATTCTATATTCTTTTTTTTAATTTAAATATTTCTATCTTTATCTGAAGACCAAAATCAAGAAAATAATTTATAGTCTGACAAGATGGTTTTCAAACACTCTTATAACCACTCTTGACACTGAATCTTGGTATTTTGCTATTAAATCAGAACATTTGATCTTCCCAAATTGAACCCGCCAAAAGTTTGTTTTTAAGGGAATTCTATATTCTTAATTCCATTTCCCCAGGAGCTCTTTCAGGTCTTCTTATATATGTAGAATGCTTAGAAGAGTACCTTCATAAAACAAACTCACTGCCATCAAGTCAATTCTAACTCATAACAGCCCCTGAGACAGGGTCCAACTACTCCTGTGAGCTTGTGGGTTACAGACCCTGTAACTTTTTAAAAAATTGTTTATTTTGTTACTGTTAAGTCTTTACAGCAGTAGTAAGCTTCATCTTTCTCCTGTGGGGCAGCTGGTGGTTTTGGACTGCTCACCTCACAGTTAATAGCCCAATGTGTAGCCACTATGCCTAGCATATAATAAATACACAATGCTAGTTATTATGCAGGTCATTTTATAGATGCTGCTTGGTAATTCTACATCTCCATCTACACAAATAATCACATCGTTCTATTCCTCTATCCTGAGAAGATATGCAGGAGAAGCCTTTGGCAGAGCCAGAGAAACATGAGTCTTGAAACAGAGTGGTTAGGTCAACCTTGACCTCCAGCCTCCTTACCTTCATCCTGTCCTCAGCTCCTCATCTGCCCTCTTTCTTTCAGATCCTACGCCGAGGGCAAGACAATGGTTTTAGGGGGAAGCGGACCTAAGTGGCAAGAATCTCAGTTGTGTGCTTAAAACTATTAAGTGTTATGGACCTGTTACCTATTGTGAAAAATGTAATTGAACATGGAGCATAATGGTTTTGTCTGATTTTTTAAAATTTATTTTATTTTATTATTTTTTTGCCTTAGAACATTCTTATTTAATATAGCCCTAGAAGTTTATCCAGAGCCATAAGACACCAAGGAGATATTAAAGGAGTCCAAATTGCCACAGAAGAAACAAACTCTATACGATAACATAATTTTATATATAAAACCCCCCAAAGGTTCAAACAAAAATTGCTGGAATTAATTGCAAATTGTGCCATGTAGAAAAAGAATGGTTGGAAACTGATTGTGATGGTTTTGTCTGATTATAACTCATTGTTCCCCTCTGGAACTCATTCTCCTCAAACCGACTTGGCCCCTTAAAGCAGCAGGAGGTTGTCAGTGGCGTAGGTGGCAATGGAGACATTACCTAGCCAGTTGTAAGTATGCAGGGCTCCAGGGAATCTGCAGAGTGGGTGAGAGTACAAATGTAAACTGGAATTTGTAAAATCCAAGTGTGTATGGGCTTCCTGTAAGAGTTTAGGATTGCACCTGGGCCTGACTTGCCACATTCTCCCAGAACCAACACCCATCTTAGTTAGCTACCTCTCACAGAAAGCCCTAGTACATTTGCTGAGGTCTCTCTAACCACCTGTTGGGAGAATCATAATAGGTGCAGGCTGGCAGGGTCAATGGGCCAACACTAGAGGGGGTGAGAGGTACTGAGGTGGTGCTGTCTCAAGCTGTGGGTTTGAAACTCACAGTCAGGAAGTGAGGCTGACTGACGGAAGGGTGGGCAGACGCGGGAGTTCTGGGGCACGTATGGTAAAAGGGGCCTCCTAAGGGCTGGGACCTTTTAGGCCATGGGCTTTGGGTCCAGAGGTGGTTGTTAGCCTGGCAAGACAAGTCTGGGCACCATGAATGCCCAGAGGCAGCTGGCTGTAGCTGCAGTGAGAGCAGAAGTCAGACGACATGAGGTGGCCAAGCGAGCTCTGAGCCGCCTCAGGAAGCTTGCAGAGAAAGTGACCGACCCTGAACTACAGGCCAGCATCCAGGCCTCACTGGACAACATACAAGGTAAGAGAAGGGTCAGTTTCCAACATGAGTGTTTGAGGGACCAGCTGGGACGTAGAAGGCCATACATCATTTCCCAGTCAGCCACTTTCTAGTCCCCAGGGGTGGAGCTGAGCTCTAGGGAAGAATACATTTGGGGAGGATGGAAGAGGACACGACACGGGAGGGGTGAATTGTCTTTCTCCGACTCTGGTCCTTCCCCCAGGGGATCAAAAAAGGGTCGCTCTGAGCTGACCCCTTGGCAATGGAGAAGTGGGCTAGCAAGGGGAAGAAGGCCTGTGAACTTGGTCCCTGCTTGGGGAGTACAAGACAGGAAGCACTTCGGGCCAGGAGGTTCTGGGACTGGATTATGTATTCATTCCCAGGACCCATTAAGAATCAGTGACCTCTTGTTCTCTAGCTGTAGGGGAAAAAACACAAAACAAAAAACAAACCCAAAACAAAACACAACAGCACAGACACTGAAACACACCATTCAGACTCGGGCTCCTAAGTCTACCATGGCACTCACATAGGTGCTGCACAGCCAAATGGCAGAGAAGTCCCCAGGATCCTTCTCAGTCATCTCTCCTCCCCATGCTCCTGTTCCTGTTCCCACCCACCCCCAAACCCCCCTTACACACACACACCTTCCGCTCTACCTCCCTAGTGCCATTAGAGCAAGAGATGACAACACAGGGAGGAAGTGCTGCCATGGCAACACCATCCCCACATCCTCCTGCCTGAGCCCCAGCCTTCACTCCTGTGGTGGGGCCCTGGCAAGGACAGCTTCTCTCCATTCACAAGGCCCACCGCTAGGGAAATGGTGGGACTGGGAGTCATCTCAAGCCTATGTTCATCTCGGTCATCTGTGAGAGAACCAACAGGACTCCTGGAAGGTGTCGGGAGGAGCACGTCTTCCATGGCACTGTCAGCCCTTGGAGCCACTTGGAACCTCTCCATTCTTAACTATCTATCTCGGGAGTCAGGAGAGGCTCTCCCCATCAGGGACACGGGTCTCTCTAATGGGGGAGGACACCCAAGCATGGTTTGGAGCAGGAACAGTTTGTGATCCTAAGGCAACAATCTAACTGACCCCTTCCCCAGGGCCCCTCCTGCCCTTGCTCATCTGAGGCTGGTGACCTCCCATGGCTGCTTCTCTACTGCTTCTTTGCCCTGAACTTCAGTCACGCTTTTCCATACAGTATTAGGGGCTGGAAAGGCTGACCTGGAGGAGAGGGGCAGGGGTGGGATGGCCTCCCAAGGAGGGAGGGACTCCAAGCCCCACCCCTGTAGGCAAAAGAGAGGAGAGAGCTGTAGGTGGTTACTGGGGTGCAGGTGAGCTGTTCAGCTCTGGAAAAGGAAGAGCAAGGGGTAGCAAAGGTGGAAAACTCCACTCTTC